TGGCTCAGTTGGTTAAGCGACTGCCTTCGGCTCAGGTCATGATCCTGGAGTCCCGGGATCGAGTCCCGCATCGGGCTCCCTGCTCAGCAGGGAGTCTGCTTCTCCCTCTGACCCTCCCCCTCTCATGTGCTCTGTCTCATTCTCTCTTTCTCAAATAAATAAATAAAATCTTTAAAAAAAAAAAAAAGAGAAAACTGGGAGAGCAACATTTCAAAAACAAAATATCCTAGGTAAAAAAAACAAAACCAAGAAATCCAAGTTTCTAATGTTATATAACAATGTCGGGTGTAACAGCCACCACCAAAACAAAACAAAAACAAACAACAAAACCCTGCAAATTTAGGAGTTTTATAATTTTAAAGAAAACAAGAGAGAAAGAGATGAAAGAAGACTACAGAAGGAAGAGCTATAAAGTACAGGTATTCCTTGCATTACAAATGATAATTCTATCACACTGCTTCTGCCACTGAATTTCTAATACTTTTGCCCTGAAAGTACTCTAAAAATGCACCTAGCTGTGCATCACAATCCTCTATCATTTGTTTAAAAAAAAAAAAAAAAAAAAGATTTTGGTGTACTGCTTCACATAAATGAATTATAATCTCTGGACAGCAGTTCAGAAATCTGTATCTGTAACAAGCACATATGGCTGATTCTGATGCTAGATCTTGATGGAAACATGAAATTCTAGATTGCTTAGAAAAGTTGGCAGATGAATCTCAGAACTGTCTATGAAGTACTACTACCTCCCTAATGACATATAAAAAGGGTGGAGAATTATAAATAGCAGTGCATAAAAAGTATACCAACATCAAAATTCACCAAGAGTGTGAGATAAAGTTCAAGGCTTCTTTCCCCCTCACAAAATAGATTCTTCCTGCACTCAGCCTACTTCCTGTAGGGCCCACTATAATAGGACTGTTCTGCTACATTACATAGATTTTTTTAGGAACTCTTCATTCATATATAACAATGTTTCCAAGAAAAAATTGATTCTAATTTCCAAAAAATCATCTCAGAAACAAATTTTCAGAGCACTACCAATTACCAGGTTTGAAAACATCCATGTGAACTCCTGAATACTAATTAACACTATTAATTATGCTAACAGTGAAATCAGCTGGATTATTACAGACACCTAGCAAAAGCATATATTTAAAACCAATAGGTCCTTCTAACATTAGACCATAAAAATATTAAGTCTTTAACAATTTTCCCAAGCAGCATCTAGTTTCTATTATTGAAATTTTCCAATATTTTTAAGTTTATCAAAATTACTGCTTTTTAAATTCTCAAAAGGATTTTTAAGCACTAAAAGCTATTATCTGAAGCTTCACTTATCAATATATAACCAACTTCTATACATAAAACACTGATATGTTTTTAAAAAATTTCATAAACACCATAGAGGGATGATACTACCTGATTTCAAGACTTACTATAAAGCTAGAGTTATCAAGACAACTGTGGTACTGCTGAAAGAATGGACACACATAGTATCGAAACAGATTACAATCCAAAAATAAACCCATACAATATAAAGTCCAATATTTTACAAAAGTGCAAAAATAATTCAATGGAGAAAGGATATTCCTTTCAGCAAATGGTGCTGCAACAATTGGACATTTGCATCCACATGCAAACAAATGAACATCAACCTTCAACCTATACCACACTTTATACAAAAATGGATCAGAAATCTAAATATAAAATTATAAAACTTCTACAAGAAAACATGGGAGAAAATCTTTGTGACTTCAGGGAAGGCAGATTTCATAGATACACCAAAGCATGACTCATGAAAAGTTTCTGCTAAAGTGGACTTGATCAAAATTTAAAACTTTTGCTTTGCAAAAGACAGAACTGGAATAGAAGAAAAGATTTTCAAATCACCTGACAAAGGACTCATACCCATAATATGTAAAGAACTTTCAACACTTAACAATAAGAAAATAACTTCAATAAAGAGTTTGTAAAAAGTCAGAGTTACCATATGACTCAGCAATTCTACCCCAGGCATACACCCAAGAAAATTTAGAACATATGCCCACAAAAAAAACCAAAAAAACAAAAAAAAACCTTGTATATATGAATGTTCATAGCAGCATTACTCATAAAAGCCAAAAAGTAGGAATAATTGAAATGACCATCACCTGATGAATGGATAAACAAAATGTGATCTATTCATACAATGGAATATTGCTCAGTCATAAAAAGAAATGATACACGCTACAACATGAAGCTCAAAAAAATAATTTTAAGAAGCCAGAAACAAAAGGCCACCTACATTGCATGACTGCATATAAATGAAATGCCCAGAACTGGTGAATCCACAGAGACATAAAGTAGATTAGTAGTTGCTGGAGGTGGGGTCCGGGGGATCAGGAGAGAATTTGAGCGACTGCTAATGGGTATGGATATGAGGTTTACTTGGGGGTGTTGAAAATGTTCTGGAATTGGTGATAGTTGCATAATTTTGTGACTACATGAAAAAACAACTGTACATTTTAGAAGGGTAAATTCAAGAGGAAAAGTACAGCAGATGGAATGCAGTAAATACTGTGATAATGCTGTAAGACAACAGATGGTGACAACATTTATCATAGTGAGCATTTCATAACCTTCAGAATTGTTTAATCACTGTTATACACCTAAAACTAACATTGTATGTGAACTACATTAATAAATAATGTTTTTAAAAGGGTGAACTTAATGGTATGTAAGTTAAATCTCAATAGAAAAATTTAAAGTAAGCAGAAGATTTGAACAGACACTTCACCAATGGAACTATACAAACAGTAAAGAACATGAAAAGATGCTCAACATCTTTAATCACTAAGGGTATGCAAATTAAAACTACCAATACTTTAGAACTATATACCTATTAGAATATGGCTAAAAAAAAAAATTTTTTAAATGACAATACCAAATGCTAGTAAAGGTGTAGAGCAACTATGCACTCATACAATGCTGCTGAGATAGCAAAATGGTAAAGCCGCTTTGAAAAGAGCTCCAGAGTTTCACAGAAATCAAATGGTCATTTACCATAAGACCTCGCAATCCCAGTCTTAGGTATTAACCCAAGGGAGATAATTTATGTTCACACAAAAACCTGTACATGAATGTTTATTAACAGCTCTATTCATAATGGCCAGAAGGGGAAACCATCAAACATTTATTAACACATCCACACAAAAAATAACCACTCAAAAATATAGGAATGAAAGAATATATACACATAGGAATGAAATACTGATGCATACAACACATGGGTGACTCTCAAATTCATTTTACATAAGAAGTGAAAGGAGTGAAATTAAGTAAAAGCAGTCAGACCCCCAAAAGCTATCCACCATATACTTCCATTTATATGGCACTCTAGGAAAGACAAAAAACTCTAAGGATGGAAACAGATCAGTGGTTGCCAGGAGATATGGGGACTGGAAAGGGTGGACTGAAAAGGGGAAGCAGAAGGAATTTTGGCACCCTACTGGAACTTTTTGGTATCATGATTGTGATAGTGGATACATTCCTTGACATTGCACTTGTCAAGAAAGACAGAACCATACATGAGTGAATTTTACTGTATACAAATTTTAAATAAATTCACCCATAAATCACACTCTACACAAACCTCCGCCTTGAACGCAGAAGCAACCCTCCACTGCAGATCAAAGCACACCACAAAATGTTTTCAAGGTTCCTTCTGAGGTGTGTGAAGACAAATTGTATTATTTTTACTCCGCAAATGAGAAGCAGAATAAAACAATCTTCAAGTTTCTGATACAGGTCAGAGATGCAGAGCTAGCCCCCATGTCCCTAGTTCTTGCAGTCTGACTCTATCATGGTACTAGATACCAACTGCAGTTAACAAGAGGTTATCTCTATCAAACTAATTATCTACTCACACTCTTTCATAAAGGAGAAAAATCAAGATAAATGAGTATCTTAGAAGAGGGCTGAAAGTGTGTGCATATTAACAGTTAAGTCCAAAAAATAAAAAATTAACCCTAACTTTGGCCTAGGAGCTTCCCTTCGTACGCAAAAGGAATCCAATCTACAACGGGTGCTTAAAATAAAGAAGGGCAGAATACAGCTGGAAGCACTAATAATGACGCTCCAAATAAGGTAGCGCACCAGAGTACAGGGATACAAAGTTTCGGTCCTTCATCTAACCAACCTAAGGGCACGTTTCACCCCCGTCTTTTATAGGTCTGAGACGTTGCACAACGCACCTAGTTTCTTAAAAAAAAAAAAAAATCACTCTGACCCACAAAATCCCAAACGTGACACGCTCCTTGGTCAGGTTGTGAACGGAAAATAGCCAGCCAACCATCTGAGTTGATTGGGCACATGAGTTTCGCTTTCTGTTATCAGCAGCAGAAGCCAGGCCAGCAACCCGAATCCAGCCCGGGTGGCCAGAAAGGGGAGCCGAGCAGACACCACGGTTTAGCCACACGCCCGGGCTGGGGAAGGAGGAAAGGAAGAGGGCGTCTTCGGTCGCCGGCGCCTTGCCTTCACGTGCGAGGCAACGTGCGCCACTCCGTGGGCTCTCCCGAGCCTTCGTCATAACCCCAGGGGGTACAGCATGACAGGGATGGGACCAAGCCAGGGGGCGTCTCGTGGCCTCCCCTACGCCCCGCACACCTGAGCCGGGCAGAGAAGGTCGCCTGGGCACGATCCGCCCCCCATGCCCTCGGAGTCCGTCGCGGGTGCCCTCGGAGTCCGTCGCGGGTCCCCTCAGCCGCCCGGCTCGGAAAAGGGGGACTTTTCATCCCGCACCCCCGACCCCAACCCCCTCCCGCCAGAATACAAACAACTTGAGGGCAGAGGCCCTGGAACCGCCGCCTGGCTTTACGTAATTTAACCCCGAGGCAGGCGGCGGCAGGTGGTGGCGCCGGGCGGGCGAGGGGCCCGAGGCCCCGAGAAAGCAAAGCCGGGCTCCGGCAACCAGGGCCCGGGAGGAAAACGAGATAGAGGGGCGGTGGCGGTCTCGTTACCTCCCCAGATGCCCAGGGTGAGCTGGGACGTGTCCAGGTTCACCACATAGTCCCCCAAGAACCGGTTCAACACGTCCACGACCACCGACTCGAACACCATTTTCCTCAGCAGCGGTGGACACGGCAGCCGCCCCCCCGCGGTCCTTCCTCCAGCGCCTGACCTCCCGCTCCCTCCCTCGAGACCGCTCGGTTCACCGGCTGCCGGGCGACTCCGACTATATCTGCCCGGACGCCGGACACGCAGCCCCGCCGCGAGCCCTGCGAGGGGCGGAGGCGGCCGATCCCTCCGCGCGTGCGCAGGGCGGCCTCCAGGGCGTGGGCAAAGCACGGCGCCGACCCGGGCGCGCCTGCGGGAGAGGAGCAAGGGCGGCTGCGCGGCCGCTTCTCTGACGCCTGCCCCTTCCGTGCAGAACCCGCCTCTTTTTACTCGTTGGCCCCGCCTCCTCCTCGTCACCAGGCAACGGGAGAAACGAAGGGAGCCGCCAGTTTTTTCCCCGACCCCCGCCCTCACCGGCCGCACGGTGTCCGGACCGGCGGCGGGGGCGGGGATGGGGGCGGGGCCGGGCGCGGCGGTTACACCTTCCAGGGAACGCCCGTCGCCCTACAGTGGAGGCGGCCCCGCACGCGGACCAGTAGGACCTGCACCTGAGCCAGGCGTGGGCGGATTCCAGTCCTTTCGCGGTCAGGCCGCAGGCGTCTCAAGGCAGGGTCCTAGGGAGCCCCCCCACACACATTATTACAGGTTCCTGCATCCGGCCGGCCTGTTTCTGGACGCCTGTAACTGCCCCGCCCGGTGCTCGAAGCGCGAGGCATGGATGCGCGTCGGGTGACTTAACTTACCCAGCTGCAAATTGTGCCAGGAAGGCGGGGCGAGGGCAGTGAAGAGTAAACTCGGCGTTGGAATGCCACGCCCTCCTTCCCTACATCTGATATGGCGCTTTTTGGTCGTTATTCACAGGGAGCCTCCTTTCATCCCATAGAAAGCCCCTTCAGATTGAGAGTTAGAGTCAGCCAGTCCAGAAACTGCTGAGCGCCCTTCAAGAAATACTGTAATACCTAGACTCAACCCTTGAGGCTTATGAAATGACTGACCTAACTAGACTAAATAATAATTAAAGCTCTTTCAGCCCCTTCCCACCCCCATTTGGTCTTATATAAGAAATGGGACCAAATGCCTGAGCTCACAGAGATGCTGGATATGAAGTATGGAGAACTATAATTAATCACCACCCTCTTAAGGATTTAAGATGTAGGAATGTACTTTGAACTTTTTCTCTGTGCATCCTGAACATTAAAGGGATCCCTCAAAGGGACTGGCAAGGCTAGAAGGGGAAGCTAGGGAGCCTTAGCACTCAATATCAATCACAGTAAGAATTATCAATTATAGACCCTTAACAGAAGAATCTCAAGGGGAAAGAATCATCAATTACAGGACCCAACAGGGAAAGAGGCACATTGCATCTCCTATAAGAAATCAATTACCCCTGCAACTTAGGTGATGAGAAACTTTCATCACCCTGCACTCTTGCTTCTCTCCAGATGACTTTTGTTAAAAACAAGCCCTCCTGGGGAGACTGGGTGGCTCAGTCAGTTAAGGATCTGCTGTCTGCTCAGGTCATGATCTCAGGGTCCTGGGATCAAGCACTGGGTCAGGGTCCCTGCTCAGCGGGGAGTCTGCTTGTCCCTCTGCCCCTCCCTGTCCCCCCACTGCGTGCTCTTTCTGTCTCTCTCAAATCAATAGATAATAATCTTAAAAAAAAAAATACAACCCCTCCCAAGTTTGTCCTCCATAAAATAATGCATCTCGCTTTTGTTTGTTAGACTTGCCTACGGTTTTGAGGTAGCTTGCTTGTCCTACGTTGTAATTCTCTGCTGTTCCCAAATAAACCCATCTTTTGCTGGTAAAATAACTGGCAATTTTATTTTTAAGGTTAACGGTGTCACCAATAAATAATGCCTCTGATGACTTTCTGCTAATTCCTGTATCATTTTAGTACTTTTCATATGTAGTGACCCAATTTTTTTTTAAGGCTTAAGGTTTGCCTTTGCAAGTAAGAATGCCTGGCAAAAAAGCAGTGTAAAATCTTGTTTTACATGAGTTCATAAATTATTTTCATACAATTTCATATCTGAAGGGTCTTTATTTTGTCACCAATTCAATCTCTTGATCTTGACAAGCATGAAGCGGAGATGCTAGGGATCAATCCAAGGTGACATAACTAATGTTCTGCAGAAACAGAGCTGGAACCTGGCTCTTCTTACTGACTCTGTTCTACCACCCCCCAACTAACATAGAAACCAGTACATAGAAACTGATAGAGGCTGAAATGCCCAGAAAAGGGAAAAGCCCATAATGAGGTATTTTGCTACTGTAGTATTGTTTAGAAGAAGCCAGATAGACAGAAGCTACAAATTCCACTATTAAATCTAGCACCATAAATTTAAAGTGCAAGAACTCCAGAACTCAGTCCAAAGATACATCTTAAATAGCTTGCAAACACTTCATACTAGTTTTCTATAATCCCAGAAAATCCTCTGGAATTGAATGAAAGAGGAGTGTAACTGTTGAAAATTTAGAACTACAAGCATTTCATTGACAGTAATGAAAAATTCTGCTGAGCAAGTCTTAGAAATATATAAGAAGATGCATATTGTAACTGAAATCTAGTGTTAGGTGCAATATCATGAACACACATTTCCTAATTACTAAAAGGTACAACTTTACAGTCAGTCCTCTTGTTGCTTACTCCATCTGAGAAAATTTGTAAGCAAAAATATAGTAATGTCATCATGTAAAAGATAATTTCACTTACTAAGCCATTAAACCAAATACCTGTTGGACCTTGAAAAATAAGTCCAAGGACTACCCAAAAAAAAGTGTTCCAAGTTTCAAATTTGGGAATGTATCAGTGTAAGGCGTTTTTTGTCCTCTGGATCATAATTAAAACATTGTTTGATCAGATATAAAAAAAAATTTTGAGCGAACCCTAACTGCAATATGATCCAACTTTCCAATAAATCCCTAACTTTGCAAGTAGGATTTGCTGTCTTATGCTTACTTTACAAGCCACAGCTTTCCATCTTTGAAGTTTTGGTATGCTGGTAGTTATCTTGGACATTTTTTTCTCCTAATTAATTTCTCTGTCCACAAGTAAATATCATTTGTGTACTGCTTGTCCTGACCTCAATTCCCCATGTGAGGTCAGCACTATGGGAGCAGGCTGGATGGCCAGATAGCAAAGTCACTGAAGCAGACCACATTCCCAAACACGTTCAGCTCCTGGAGGAACCGTTCTAGAAGATGGCCGTCCTACAGGAAGTTTTACTGACCCAGCCTCACAAAGCCCTGTGCTACCATCCCAATTAATGGTTTAAAAATTATAAACAATTAAAAGTTATTTGGATTTATATGTTCCAAACCCTTAAAAAAAAAAAACAAATTTGTTGAAAAGGAGATATAAGTAAAAGGTTGAGTAAAGTATAAGAACTTTACTCAGACAGTGTTGGTAAAAATGTAAACTGATGCAATCTTTCTAAAAGGCAGTTTGTAAACATGTACAAACTGATATATACATATTTATGATACATAGATATATTCATACATACATATTCATATATATGACTTTTGACTCAACAATCCCACTTCTAGTGATTTACTCTAAGAAAACACAAAAATTTAAAAAGCTATCGCCACAAGAACATTAAAGCATTATTTATAGCAGCAAAGAATTGGAACAAGTTCAATATCAATAGGGAAGCTGGTTAATTGTACACGCACGCACAATGGGTTATTATGCAGGCTTTAAAAATGATGCAGATCTAGGGGTGCCTGGGTGGCTCAGTCGTTGGGCATCTGTCTTAGGCTCAGGTCATGATCCCAGGGTCCTGGGATAGAGGCCCACATCAGGCTCCCTGCTTTGCGGGAAGCCTGCTTCTCCCTCACCAACTCCCCCTGCTTGTGTTCCTTCTCTCGCTTTGTCTCTCTCTGACAAATAAATAAAATCTTTAAAAAAAAATGATAATGCAGATCTATACTAATATGGAAGGAAGTCAATAATATATGCTGTGAAAAGAGACAGAATAGTATCATACCAATAATATAAATTAAAACATGTTTTAAGTGTGCAGAGAATTTATATAAATATATATGTACACACACACAGAGAAAGAAATGTAAAAGTATGAACCACCAACTGTTAATAGTGATTTTTTTTTTCTCAAGTTTGTATTTAAATTCTAGTTAGCTAACATATAGGGTATAACTGGTTTCAGGTGTAGAATTTGGTGATTCATCACTTACACATAACACCCAGTGCTCATCAAAACAAATGCCCTCCTTAATACCCAGTGCCCATTTAGCCCATCCCCCACCAAGCTCCCTCCATCAATGCTCAGTTTGTTCTCTACCGTTAAGAGTCTCTTATGGTTTGATAACCTCTCTCTCTCTTTTTTCCCTTCCATATGTTCATTTGTTTTGTTTCTTAAATTCCATGTATGAGTGAAATCATATGGTATTTGTCTTTCTCTGACTGACTTATTTCACTTAGCATAATACACCCTGTGGGGGTATAGCTCAGGGGTAGAGCATCTGACTGCATAATACACCCTAGCTCCATCCACATTGTTGCAAATGCCAAGATTTCATTCTTTTTGATGGCTGAGTAATATTCCCCTGTATGTGTGTGTGTGTGTGTGTGTGTGTGTAAATATATATATATACACACATATATATATATCTCACCTCTTCTTTACCCACTCATTAGTTGATAGACACCTGGGCTCTTTCCATAGTTTGGCTATTGTTGATAATGCTGCTATAAACATTGGGGTGGTTGTGTCCCTTCTAATCTGTATTTTTGTATCTTTGGGTAAATAGCTAGTAGCGCAATTGCTGGGTCATAGGGTAGTTTATTTTTAACTTGTTGAGGATCCTCCATACTGTTTTCTGGAGTCGCTGCACCAGTTTGCATTCCCACCAACAGTATAAGAGGGTTCCCCTTTCTCCACATCCTTGCCAACACCTATTGTTTCCTGTGTTGTTAATTTTAGCCATTTTGACAGGTGCAAGGTAGTATCTCATTGTGGTTTTGATTTGTAATTCCCTGATGATGAGTGCTGTTGAGCATCTTTTCATGTGTCTGTTGGCCATCTGTATAACAGTGATTATCTTTAGATGGTGAGAGTTTTGGTCATTTTTTTTTTTTTTACAGTGAGCGTGGATTTTTTTTCCCCCAAAACAAAAAATCTG